ATCTAGAAACATATATATTCTCAGATCGTGTAGGGGAAAGGGCAAACACTACACTCTACAACACAGCGAGTGGCACTTCCTTATTTGTCGCACCGTCCGAATACCATTCTCCTGGGCCCGCTCGAGGCAGATGCCCATCCATTATTTCCGGCCCAATGGGCTCACCCACGGAACTGTACATTTCTACACCTAAAACTCAATTCTTATACGTTTCATCAACTAAATATCTATTATATACATAACAATAATGTTTTTGTTAGAGAAATACAGTATAGATAAATAAATAATGAGTGGATTCAAATGCCCACTAATAATTCTCAACTTTAATATATGGTTGTTGTATTAAAAGAAAAAATCCAGTATAACTCAACTAATTGAGGTATTTATCTTCAATTAAAAGATGGTGAATTTAAATACTCATTCATATATGTACTAAAAAATAAATGGCTACTAGTTATTTTCTCTTTATCGAATCAAAATACTAAAGTTTATTATAATTAAATTTTTTAAAAATATTCTATGGCGATATTACTAATTAACGCAGGAGCACCGACTATGTTGGGTGGAAAATTTTTAATTTGAAGTAATACTCAAAGAAGGAAGGAAAAAGAAAGTCTAATTAGAAGAAAACGTATTGGCTGACTTTAATAAATTAAATTAATCACCGTAAGTCCACGTCTGTCGTTTTTTAACAGGGCTCCCTCTGAATGGGTCCCACATTCTGCAAACTGTGGCCCTACTTTCGCCACAACGCCAACGTACTTATTTCCTATTTTTAGACTTTTTGTATTTTATTTATATTTATAATATTTACATTATTGATGGGAGAGGATTTGAAATTCACGACAGCCCCAACGGACCGTTTCGCGGCTTTTGAGTTTTGACACTTTTTTTTCCAACACCATAAATTTCGAGGGCTTTAACAATTTCCTGATATTTGAAACGCAATAAGCTCATCATCATTTTTCTTTTTTAAAGAAAACTTACACTCTCACCCAATAATTGGTAATTTGACATTACGCATTCAAAAAAAAAAAAAAAAAGAGGAAATAATTACCACAATAAATAGTAAATTATTGGTGCCTGGCCTGGGAAATTATGAGCATTATAATTATAGGCCTAGGGAGAACGGAAAACCAGTTGCCCGCAGCCAACTCCCGCCGCCGATGAATCTGCCGGCGGTGAAAGGTTCGGCCTCCGTGGCACTTCGAATTACTTTAAATCCTTTCCACGTCACTCTCCCGGCCGTCGAAGCCCCCGGGCCGGTGTTCTGATACTCGGCGTAGAACAACGTATTGAGCGCGAAATTACCGCTCCACTCGTGCCACCCCTTGGGGTCGATGACGTCACTTATCGACGACTGCATAATCACGGTTCTAGAATATTCCTTCCATGGCCTTCCGAGAAACGTCGGGAAGTTTTTCTGAACCGACCGGAGATCTGAGGTGGCTCCGATTCGGGATTTCTGAATCACGATCCCGGTGTTCTGGTTCGGGTCGGACCGTCCCTGAGCCGTGACCATGTTCTTCTGGCCGGAGTTGGGCCGACGAGCGTGGATGTCACAGTCCTGGAAAACCGCCGCCGCGTTGCCGAAGATGAAATCGACGGTGCCGGAGACAAGGCAGTTAATGTAGAACTGACGGTTGGAATGGACGTAGAGAGTGTCTTGGTAAGCCAACATATCGCATTGGTAGAAGGCGGAGAGATCCGCTCCGACGCGGAGAGCCACCGCTTGGTGCTTCGATGGGCCCGCCGTGTTCTGGAACGTGATGTCACGCGCCAGAAATCCTTCCCCCACCGCCGCTGCCAAAAAAGAAAAAACAGCAAACAATATTTTATTTCTTTTATTTTCTGAATTAATTACCAAAACTATCACTCGGGAATCTTGGAAATTAACCAGACGACAGAGCGAAGCGTTTTTCAATTTTCACGGGCCAGAGATCATTGGTCCAGACATATTTTTGGAAAACGACATATTATTCTCTTTCACCAAAGTAAAATATTACTTACCACCTTCAAATATTTGATAATTCATCTTATTTTATTAAAGAAAATTTATTTTTGTGTTTTATATTTTCTAGTGGTCAGATATTTAGCACTACTTATTAGTGAGAGTCAAATATTTTTAATTATAAAATAGGTTTTTTCTTTTTTAGATATTATCATGAAAATAGAGTAGAAAAAAAAAAGTAAATTCGATGTTTCACAAGTCAATTCAGTACTTCAAAATTTGAGAAGGTGCACTCGAAAGGAGAGAAGATAAAGGGATTTTAGAAGTGGGTTTAAATCTTTTTGTACGGCGGTAACTTTTGCCCATGTGCGCTCCACCAGAGCACCGGATGGATAGCAGGAAAAAGAGGCGAGATAAGATAGCAACACTTTAAAAAAGATAGGAACATGATCTATTTTAATTTATTATACATTTTTTTATTAGAGACTTATTATTAGATATAAAATAAATAAATATAAATCGTAAAAGTCATAGAATTATGGGAACTCACCGACGGTTGCAGAGTTGAAAGTGGTGCTGCCGTCGACGACATTCCGGCTGCCGGTGATAATGGTGTTGCTTCGTCCATCTCCCACAAACATTATATTGGTTTTCTTCTTGGGAATTTCCACATTCTCCCTGTAGACGCCGGCTTTGATTCTAATAATGTACCTCTTCTTGCTTTTGTCCGGCGCGGCGGACACGGCTGCAGACACCGTCCGGAAGTTCCCACTGCCGTCCGCCGCCACGACCGCGTCCGGCGTGACGGAGGAGGACTGCAGAAGGCGGCGGTCTCCGGGCGAGAGCCAGTGGGGCCAGATGATGGCGGCGTCTCCGGCGTCGGCGTTCTCAATGAGGTTTCTGTTAGCTCCCATTTTGGCGTGGTAGTTGGCAATATCGGTATCGGTCATGTTCTTGATCATGGCGAGTGCATTGCTGCACATGTGCTCCACTTCCTTCTGCCCCTCTTCCAGCTTCTTCCGCAGGCTTTTATCCGCGTCGTCGTGTGAGAATCCATCCAAGCAAGTTTCCTGCAAATTCAAACAAAATTAATCATTCTGCTTGATCTTTAGCACTGCTAAATTGTATACGAGAATTCGAAATGATTTTTTTAAGTAAAAAATAGATGTCAATTATAACTGACTTATACTGATATTAATTTCATCTTTTTTTATTCTGATACTAGTTTATCCTACTTGCTGCTCATTAATCTTATTTTCACCAACCGCTACATATTCGACAAAAAAATAATTGTAAAAGTATATATTTTTTAAAATAACAATGAGTTATCAAAATTTCAATAGTAGCAAGAACATCATATATTTTGTTTTTAAAAATTGAAAAGGAAAATAGTTAAATGAACAAACCTTATTCTTATCATGAAGAATACTTCGCAATCTTCTCCCTACCATCTTTCTCATATAAGAGAGAGAAATGTAAAAATGTAAATTTTTTATAAAATTTTTTCAGGTGATGAAGACAAGATTTAGTATTTTTCATTAGACAATTAAGATAGAAATGCAAATTACATATTTGACAACTAACAAAATAAAATAAATAAAATAAAGAAGGAAAATTTTCTTTTAAAAAATAATAAATTCTCAAATATTCAATGGAAGTGTAAAGTTACTTCAAGGAGTAGCCAAAAATTTTATAGTTGCGCCTTACCATCCAAACAAAAGGGAATTTTTTTTTAGGCAATAGATAAAATATATTCTTTTTATTTTTCAAAAAGTTAAAATGCTGTAAAAAATATACAAAATTCAGGAGATTTATTTAAATTACAAATCTAATATTCATTGTTTTCAATTTGGTTCCCATGCTTCCAAAAATAGGTTAACTTAGTCTAAACTAGTTGGGATCGGCTCCAACTTGATCTCTACCAGAGTAAATTGAAAATTTTAAAACTACAGAGGATAATTATAATTTAAAATTAAGCTTAAATCATATTATAGAACCAAATTAACCTTAAATCTGCTGTAATTTTAGAGTCGAGTAACAAATTAAGGAACCTGATTGGTAATGGCGGAACTGAGCAGGGTCTTGAGGTCGTCGGCGTGCTGGTCGAGAGACTTCTTATTGGGGTACTGATGGAGGTCCACGATGGACTTGTGGAGCTCATCCAGCGTCTCGTCGATGGTCTCAAGGCAATCGTGGAGCGCAATTCTCTCGCGGTGGGTTATGTTCTTCAGCGCCGCCAATTTCTGCACTCTGAAGTAATTCTCCTCCACCGCCTTCACCGTTATGTTGATCGACAGCTCAATCACGTCCTTCTGATTCGAAACTTTCTTCATCGCTCCCTCGCTCCGGGAAATCGTCGAGAAGCACAGCTCCGGGTACAGCGTGGCGCTGCACGTGCTCTTCACAATGGCGTGGGCTTCTTCCGACTGGCGGCCGGAGTTTCTCGACTTCGTCACGCCGGCGACAATGCCCACGACGGCGCCGACCACGAGGAGAGCTGCGGACAGAGCCAGAAGCAGCGTCTTCTTGCTGTTTCTGTTTCGGGGGACGGGAGTGCTCCGGTGACCGGAATCTGAGATTTCCATTCCGGCGACGATGGGTTTCTCCATGGGAATTAGAGGAAGCTACGAGATGGGGAGAGAGCGAAAGATGTGAGCTGGTGGGAAAGAGGCGAAGGACTTAATATAGACACAAAAAATGGATGGGGACTAGGAGAAGGACTACTGTAATTATTGTCCTTTTGCGTCAATTTTTTTTTTCGATAATTGAATGTTTATTTTTTATAAATGATTTGAATTACGCAATGTTAACAACAAAACAGAAAAGGTTAAACTATCAGTTTAGTATGCATGCTATTTTAATTTGGTTCTATTAAGATGTTTATTGTATATTCAATATATCAATTAAATTTATTCAATCCATCAGAAGTTTTTGGGTTGAATGATCGTTTGTTCATCTTTAATATGGTATCAGAACGGGTGGTCATGTGTTCGAGTCCCTGCATAATCGTTTCCTCCTCATTTTATATTGAATTTCACTTGTTGGGTCTTGATGTTATTTTTCAAGCCCACAAGTGAGGGGATAGATATTCAATATATTAAATATGAGGAAAGACTTAAATATTATTCTAAATCAAATGTCATTTGATAAATGCCTAAATATATTTTTTTTAAACTGAAATTTAACCAACAAACAAATATTAAAAAATATAAAAGTGTTCAACGTGCAGTGGCATTGTTATTTATTATGCAAACGCCAATGCATGACATGGAGCGCCAATGGAAGATTTAAAAATTGGCTCATTGTTTCGTGTGATTTTCATAATTTAAACAAAAAAAAAATGAAATTTAACTACTTAAAAAAAAAACGTAGTAACAGAGAAGCAGGCATTGGCAAGCGATGGCTCTTGACAGCCTGGAAAAGGTATCATTCTTTTATTATTTTAAAAAAGTATCATTGCTTGCTTTACTTTCTATTTTTCTTATTCCTCCTCGAGCATTTATCCACGTTCTTATATACATTATTAAATAGTTTTGAAATATAATAATTTCAATAAACAATTATTCAGGATTTTTTTTTTATTATATCTCGTATTTAACTTGATTCATCCATGGAAAAAATATCACGCTATAATTCACCACTCCGTGGTGTGAAAAGATGCCGATAGAAGAAGGAATAACTTTGTTTCCTTATAAAAAACAGAAAGTGGGTGCTGATTGGTTGGTCTTTCTATATGAAAAACATTTAACTCAGATCCAAATCTTTAAGAAAATATTTAGTACCTTAGCGGTAAGGAACAATTTTGTCCTCACCACCATTAAATGTTTCACAACTAAAATAAAAAAATGTAAAAGTAAAGATTTTTTTAAAAGGTAATGAGTTGTCAATTTTTGAATGGTGGTTAGGACAATATTTGATCATTACCATTCGAGCCAAGTATTTTCTCCGATCTTATCATCGCTACCATTGAAAATTTGACAATTTATTATTATTTTTAAAAAAGTCTATATTTTTGTATTTCTCTCTTAGTGATAAGACATTTAATGATGGTGAGTACAATGTTACTTCTCACGGTTAAATAGTCGAGTATTTGACATAAATTATTATTTTTCTTAATTCGAATCTCAAACCAGCCAACCATATCAGTTATCCGTCATTATTTATTCAAGATTAAAAAAAAAGTTACGTCCGACAGAACTGCTCAGCCATTGGTATATAGACAACGGTCAAAAAAGGTTCGCAAAACGACGTTGTTTTAATATTTAATACTGAGCCTGAGGCCGCCATAAGCCTGGAAAGGCGAGACGATATTGCCAGAAATATACAAATTTACACGTTACACTATAGTTTACAACGGTCCACTGTCATTCAATAAATATTATTAAATTTAATTATGTCGCATGACAATAATATTAGTATTCTTTTTACTATTTTGTCGTCCTCCACACCTAACATGTTAGTATGTCTCGCTACCAGTTATGTTTTTGTCTTTTTCTTCTTTCTTTTTCCCATCTTGTAAAATATGATTTTCGTCAAAACATATCTCAAATGAAATACTATAAAAACGTTGTACTTGGTACTCATTTTTAGTATTTTTCATTCGGGTAAAAAATCGGGGTGTAACACGTGGTGCACCAATTTAAACTTAATGTTACTGGTTAACACATCTATCTTATATTAAGAGGTTGTAGTTCGAACTCTCATCTTTGTATGTTGTATTAAAAAATAAAACAGGTAAATAATGTTATAAATAATTTAACTAGTTAGCCTTCCGAAGGACAATTCAATTGACAAGTTCTTGAGGTCTCAAGATCATACAGACTTAGAGATCTAAGTTCAAATATTTTTATAAACCTAATACAAAAAATTCTTAGCCTCTTATAAATTTTTTTTTTTTTAAAAAAGTAACTAGTTAAAATGTTTAGTTTATGCTTTGAAATTTTATAATTATTCCATCCATGTTCATGTAGAAAAAATAAACAAATAGATATGATCTAATTGACAATTGAGTACTTGTTTTGCCATTTTAGTTCAAACATTCGAAAAAATTGAAACCATGGACGGAGTCATAAATTATTAGAGATAGACCAAACTTTTCCGTGTAAAATTTTATATAAACGGCATTCATTTATAAGAATTTAAGGGCAAATTAGTGAAAATTACAAAATTTTAATTACTTTATATAGATTTTCTAAGTTGCGAGAAACTAAGAAGGGCAATATTATCCTTCCTCTTTTGCTATGCCCTCGACGAAACCACACACGTGAATGAAATTATATGGTTAGGTAGGTTAAAAGAACATGTATAATAAATAAATAAATAAGAATATATATATATATATATATATATATATAATATTAGGTTGAGTTATGCAATTAATATGATTTTATATAAAATAAAATAAAATATGAAACGAGAAAAATACGAAATATAATTTAGTATTAATATAAGTATAGATATGTACGTCAATCTAAACATAATTCAATTGATCTAGAGTTAGACGTCCGAATTTCCATTTTACATATGATTGAATAAAAAAAAGTATAGATATATTACGTTGTAATAAAAGATTAAGTATAGACATTGAGAACTTTAGTCAATTTATTTAGTTAAATTTAATGTTATCAATTAATATGAATTTATTAGGTAGTATAAATATTTGTTCATATTTGTACTAAAGAAAAAGTTAAAATATAAAATCTATTTCTTGTTTTAGTCTATATATTTTTAAAATATTTATTTTAGTTCATGTAATTCATTTGGTCTATGTTGTTATTTGTTTTGGTTCCTATACTTTTAACTTTTATTCATTATAGTATCTATTTTTGAAAATTTTAATTTTAATTCATGTACTTTTGAAAAGTGACCATTTTAACAAATTATTTTTGTCAAAATTTCAATGCAGCATTAACAATCCATGTATTTCTTAAAATGTAAATATTATTTTATACTAAAGAGTTTATGTTAAAAATGACTAAAATGATCCATTTTTTAAGTAGATGACTGAAATGAATATTTTCAGAGTACAAAGTTTAAAATACAGTAACCACAACGAATATTTTAAAAGTACAGATAGTACAAATACGAGAATGAACAAAAATTCAAATACATAGAAGAAACTAGTATTTAAAAAATATATATATTTGTTCATATTTATTGATTCAAAATTTACTTGGAATGTCCAAGCAAACCTACCAACACCAATCTCGCCTAATTGCCTGCTTCCGTCCTTCCATTCCATCCAACCACCGCCCATCAAATAATTTCAAACAATTAATGTAACGCTGCTATTATCAAAGAGGATCCCTGAAATTGGGCTAAAATAGATTTCATTTTCAACTTTCACACCTATTTTTCAATCTTTTTTAGTGTTCTGTTGGATTATGGTATTCTCTTCAATTGCAAATCTTTTTGAAAATTCTCAATTTCTTTTAATATATATAAAAATAAATTGACTTTTTATTGATATGTTGTTCATATATGTTGGATCTAAACTCTTATGACTTTGATTTTAGTTTTACCAAGAAATACCTATACGAGTAAAAATATTGTCATCCACTTATGTACCGTAAATATTTTCTTCTGAAGTTTACATTCACGTTCTCGATATTGAAAACTATTAGCTTCATCAAAATTTCAAATTAACAAAAATAGTGCCATCCATTTCTTATAGTTTTAAAAATGGAGGGATCCATACCTTCTACTTGGCCATGAGTTTTTTTTATTATTATTATGTAAGGATAGTTAATTGTTTGAGTTTTTATTCATAGTTATCCCATTTGAGTTATATACATAAGGATTGTCTATGTGATCATCATCAATATAAGACAAAAAAATAATAATCTAAAGAGTACAATACATTATTTACTAATGAAATCATATACTCAATCTCATGGTCTATTTGTATTTTAACATTTCATTCCACATATTTGGATAAATATTAAGACATTACTCTTTGGGTACGAATCATGGCTCGCCACGTGTCATGTTCGAAGAGGCAAGTTAGATTAACTCGCACACAAAATATAAGAATTGACTCCAAAACACTTAGGTCGGCAGACAAAGTACGAACTAATACATCGAGCCGACCTATGACAAATTCCGTAACACGGTCTCTTCCGAACCCGACAACACGCCGCGTTTTTAGGGTGTGTTAGAGTTCCTGTCGGGCCCAGTTTCTATAAATAGAAACTCTTGCCTTAAATGTAACGTACGCAACCCTAGATAAACTCAGCAGATTAACTCGTACTATAACTAACTTACTCGTCGGAGTGCTAACTTTGTTTTGCAGGTTACGCGAGTGCTCTAGAAAAGTGTTGAACAGTTGGCCATAGCTCATCCAGTACCATCTGATCTACTATCCATCCAAATTCAGCGATTTCGAACTCAAACATACTCAATAATTTATTGAATGCATACTCCCACCTTTAAATGTTATAGTTATAAATAATAAGAATAAATAAATATTCTAAAAAAAACTCAAAATGTCATATAAATTTTTTATAGAGCATTTTTAACAATGCTTCAAGGCTTGAAGTACATTTAACAGTCATTCAAAACAACGATTTTTAATTGATTAGTAACATTATTTATTACAACACAAGACACTAAAGTAATTAAAAAAAAAACAGCCCCCCAAATTAACTTTTTATCCAATTGACTGAACTTTTAACACTTTAGTCTCCATTATATATTTCTAGTAATAAAACAAAAGAACCTGCTTTAATCATAATAAAAAAGTTGTGAAAAAGACAAAACTATAAATTTTTCTGTACTAAAGTTACCACAGGCTTCTCTTTATTCGTCAAATTAAATAAAATAAAGAAAAAGAAAAAGGTTTTTACTTTATCCACCAATTAAATATTGAAAATTCGTCGTTCCTGTGATTGCAAACTGTAAAGAACCACCGCTAATTACGCCATTCTGCCCTTTCCAGTTCCAGCACAACCTCGTTGGCTATCAGCAAAGGAATCATAAATGATTACGATAAAAATAATAAAACCATTATTTTGTATAAAATTTTTTTGTCTATTATTGTAAAAAAAAAAAAAACAGTCCATTTAAATATCCAGCTTTAGAACAATAAATGAGATTAAAATATTGAACCTCCAACATCTAGGAAAGGAGCAACGTGTTTTGACACTGAATTAAATAATATATTTCAACCGTAATTTAAAATGATAAACGATTATTTTTATTGATTATTTGTTCTGGATAAATAAACAAATAAAAAAATACGGACATAGCTTTAGCATTCTCGATCAAAATGTCACGAGCTCGAATCCCCACATGTTATAAAAAATTAAAATTACACTGGATAGATCGTTAATATAAAAATATGAAGGTACGGTATATTTAAAAACATTAATAATTTTTTTTTTGGGTTACCGGAACTTGTTTCTTTAATCCATTTTTTCCAATATCAGCTTTATTTTACTTTTAATAAAAATTACCTTTTATCTTAAAGGCAAATGTCAAATAATTTAAAAGGCCAAAAAACAAGAAGCATAATTTTAAATAATTGAGTACCACACGTCTCTCCCTCTTAAACCCCACCCTTAGGACCATTCTGTCTGCATTTTGAAATTCATCCTTTTTATACAATAAGACGCAAAAAAAGAGAAAATTTATATTGGAAAAAGATATTTTTGGAACAACGAATTTTGTCAAAAATAAAAATTAACATTTATGTGAAAATTCGATTGGAATAAATAAAAGAAGGAAAACGAAACAAATAAATAAAGTCCTCGGGTGGAATAATAAGAAAGAGAGAGACGAATATGCTAGAAACGCCATTTTTGGAAAATTAAAAGGTCATTAGAAAACAACAGCTCATTGAGGCCAAAATTGGAAGTTTACACAAATTACGAGGGCAAAAATGAAAATTAAAGTAACTGGGTAGAAATAGAAAGGCCCAGCAGAAAGAAAGGAACGCTAAGCCCACTAGAATTCAAAAACCCTAAGCCCGTTATCCATTTTTATTTTTATTTTTAAATTTCTTTAAATTCATTTTTACAAAATGAAGAAAAAAGGAAAATTTTCTTTAAACCCTGACTTGAGGTTTTTACGGCGAAAATTTCCCGGCGATTCACTGCGCCAATTCTCTCGCCGTCATCTTCCCGCTCCCGCTATCTGAGAACGAGCAGTTTTGGAGTAAGTTTCTCTTTCTGCAATCTGTCTCCTGTTTAGATTGCTGTACTGCTACTTTGCTGTTTCTTCCTTTTCCCAAGGTACTAGTAGAAATTTGTGTGCTGCAATTATCCGAATCAAGGATGATAATCGATTGCTATAATTAGCATTTTTTCTTTCACGCCGCTGCCCAAATTTTGCCTGGTTTCTCTTCTGAATCGATGAAGTAGTAGTATGCATTTGAAAATATACAATTAAGAGAAATAGTCTCTTTTTTGAACATGCATAAACGAATAGTAACCCTGTTGGTATTCGAAAATTGGAGTTCTCCAATTTTATTGCAATTGATGTGAATTGCCATCTCTTATACTTCTTATGCATTGATTTTTGGCCTACCATCAACAATTTAAGTTTCACGGTCGTCACCATGTATCTTGTTGTTCTTTACAGTGCTGTACGGTGAGAGATATTTTGTACATGGTGGCTAGGTGGTTATGGTTTCTGTTGGTTTGAAAGCTCTGACATCGAGGCGACATAGAACCTTTATTTCAATTGAAGACCGCTTAATGGGTGAGGATAAATTAACACATAAAAGCGGGAGAAGGAAAAATGGCATGAGTAGGAAGGCTGAGAAGGGAGGTAATGGTTTTGATGGGAACGACGCCCACAAGAACGTGTCTGGGATGACGTATGGTGGCACACTGAGCTCTTATAAAAAGTTTTCCAAGAATAAAAACACTTCCCCACGGACCACACCACAAACTTCAGTCATAAGGTTGGCCCCTTCTACAATAAACTAGTTTTACTTGGACATTCTATTAGCACCACAGTAGAATTTTTCTTCAAATTCGTGCTCTTGTTCGTTAGTCATTACTTTTTTTTTTTTGTTTATCATGAGGGAAGTTATCTTACAGGAAGCAGGTTGATCCTGAAACAACAAAATACTTCTCGGAGATTGCCAATTTATTTGAAAGCAATGAGGCTGACTTTGAAGAGCGATCAGTTATATGTGGTAATGCACTAGAGGAAGCTATGGGGAAAGAGTTTGAACTTGCCACTGATTATATCATAAGCCACACAATGCAAAGCCTTCTTGAAGGCTGCAATGTTGATCACCTTTGTAGTTTCCTCCACGGTTGTGCCAAACAGTTTCCATTTATTGCAATGGATAGATCTGGCTCACACGTAGCTGAGACAGCTATCAAGTCTTTAGCTATGCATCTAGAGGACAAAGATGTTTATCCTCTGGTTGAAGATACTTTAACTGCAATATGCAAGGTGTGAGGTTTTAGTCACTCTCATTTTTTCCTAGATTTTGAATGATTAAGGTTCACTTTGTATCATTTGGTTTTTATATGATATAGGGAGAATTTGATAATTTCTTGCCTAGTCATGAAGTTTGTTGATGGTCATAATAATTAACTAGAGTAATAATTAATGATAATATGCACACTGCCTATGTGTACACACACACACATACTATACTGCATTTGCATAATTCATGCCTTAATTATATAATTGTCTTTCAGGAAATTGTAGCCAATCCTCTGGATGTGATGTGTAACTGTTATGGTTCTCATGTTCTCCGAAGTCTTCTTCATCTTTGTAAAGGAGTAACGTCAGATTCTTCAGAGTTCCATACCAGAAAATCGTCAACAGTGGTAGCAGAGCGGTTTAATGTCAAGGTGCCTCGTTCTAGTGGAGATAGTGGGTTCCATAATGAGCGAGGCTTCCCAGAATTACTGAAGTTGCTTGTCTTTGGGATGCTGAAGGGTGCAAGAAAGGATGCCAGGATCCTTCAAGTTGATCAGTACGGCAGTTTGGTTCTTCAGGTATTGTTTTATAAAAATATACAATTATATCGTGGTTTTGTAAATTATTTTTCGTTATATTTTTAAGAATTTCAAGTTAACCAAATATCATAGGTAAAAAACTATGGTTATGTATATTAGGCCACTAGATAGTTGACTTCGATGAGTCTTCTTTCTAACTGGCATCCTACCTGGTTTTCTTTTCAGCTACACTTCAATTAATGCTGAAGTAATTGATCTTTCACTATCTGACAGACTATTCTGAAGTTGTTGGTGGGGCAAGATGACGAGCTGAGGCATATAATTCCCATCCTCCTTGGCTGTAGTGAGGAAGAGGCTGTGGGAGGAACTTTTATACAAATATCCGTTGTTCCAGATGTTGTAGATTTGATGAAAGAGACTGCATTTAGTCATTTAATGGAGGTGAGATGTACAATTCCAGATGGAGTTATTTTTTAACTTGTGAAATTCAATAATATATGATATTTTCATTATCTTTATGAAATTTGAGTTGGTGGGAATATCATTTGACCCTTCAAATTTTGGCAGTCAGGTTTTTCCTGCCTTTTGTGTCCTACCAACATTTTGTGCAGACATCTTTGTGGTCTCTAGTAGGAATTAAACTAACAGAAAATGGGACCAAATCAAACTGAACATGTCTGGTTTGATGTATGATGGTATCAAATTACTAAATCCAATCTATTTCATCATAGTTTGATTATTTATTTATGGAATTTTGAATTTTGTTGATTAGAGCGTTAAATAGACTTGAATCAATTGGAAAATATAGAAAAAAGAAGCTTGAGAACGTGCATAAGAAATGCGTACTAATAGGGTCGAGTCTCTCTCACCTTTTGCACTTGAAATATATTTGTTCTGTGCAGTGTTTTTGGTGCATTCATTAACGTTATTTTTTGTCCGTACTCGCTCATGAAAAGAGATAATATGTTCTTAGAATTAGATGTATTGGTTCTGGCATTGTGAATTTGCAGGTGATTTTGGAAGTGGCTCCAGAAGATCTATTCAATGAACTCTGCACAAAAGTTTTCAAGAATTCATTGCTAGAGCTGTCATCTGATCCCTGTGGAAACTTTGCTGTCCAAGCACTAATTTCTCACATAAAATATAAAGATCAAGTATGTATTAGCATTTTTGAACTTATTGTTATAATTTGAAAATGGCACCAATATCTTATTATAACTCCCTCCTCTCTTAGTCATTCTCATTCTCACACATTAGGGCACACACATGCATGCAAGCTGGCACACAATCTAGTGCATGTTTAACGATTTTCTGCTATTGCATTATATATAGACTAGAGATGAATGTGTCACGTCAATACTTCTTGAGGAATTGGTTTATTATGCTCATGTTTTGTCACCTAGATGGACTTGGTATGGTCAGAGATTGGAACAAAAGTTAGAGATCTTCTTGAAATGGGGAGGTCAGGAGTTGTCGCTTCTCTAATTGCTACAAGTCAGAGGCTTCAAACACATGAACTGAAGGTCTATAATTTAGTTTTTGTCGATGCTTTAAAGTTTTTACTTACCTTAAACATGATTTGAATGTTGATGGTGAACCTTATGATTTGCCGTCCATTTATCTAATTATGAATTTATGATATTTGACAGTGTAGCGAGGCTCTTGTTCGTGCTGTATGTTCAACTGATGATTCCCCGAGATGCATTGTTCCTCGAATATTATTTATTGACAGATATTTCTCTTGTGAAGATAAAGCCAAATGGGATTTTCCTAGTGGAGTTAAAATACATGTCATGGGCTCTCTAATCCTGCAGGCAGTATTTCGATATCGAAGTGTATGCATTTTTTCCTCCCAAGATATTGCAATTTATTTATCTTATTTTCAAAGGCAAATAAAACATTCATATTACAGTTCTGCTACATGACAGTCTATCCCTACAATACAGAACTGGCCATTCATTTGATGTGCTTAGGTTCATGTAGTTTGCGTTACTGTTGTTTCTCTCAGTGATTTTCTATAGTCTGTTCGTTGTCATTCTGTTGTATAAATTCTCTTTCTCCACTCTTTCAAGGCGTTGTCTTGATCAACTCTCTTTCTACAAGTATCCACTATTTTTCAAAGGGGATTTTGCTTTCCAAGGGTCCCATTACTTTGAAGAATGCAATTTGATCACTAGTTGTTTAGATCATTAGAAATGTTTAGAACTGTGGGCTTTTATTTTTTAGGAAAGGATTACATTCTTTGATGAACTTCTCCATCGTTTATACACTTTTGTGGTTCTGTTTCGGAAACTTCGTTAGGGACATATGTCATGGGAAAATAATTACCAAGGTATCTCAACCTAGTAAGGAAACAATTATCTCAATGTTGGACAAGTTGTATAGCTCGCATTTAATTTCATTAATTTGTCTGATGATGTTGAAATTTTTTACCATTAAACTGTTTACTGTATAGTTTGTACAATCTGCATCAATGGTCCTTGTTTATAGGATGGGACCACATGTTTACTTTCTGGTGGATATTGTGGTACATTACTGCTAATTGATCTTAATTATTGAAAGCATATTATTCTCGACTGTGAAACAACATGAATTGCATCAGAGTTCCTGCTTAGATGGCATGAACTTTCTTGAGCTTTCTTTTTATTTGCTTCGGTTACTTTTTCTCATGCATTACAAAATTGTTTTATTTACAAGTCTGTAGGGACCTTGATTTTTATGTTGCAGGAACTGATTCAACCTTACATTACAAGTATCACATCAATGGAAGCCGATCATGTCCTTGAAGTAGCAAAAGACTCAAGTGGAACTCGTGTTATTGAAGCTTTTTTAAATTCTGACGCCCCTGCAAAATTGAAGCGAAGATTAGTGATGAAGTATGTCTTTGAAATATTTTATAGCTTCTAATGTACAGAAAGTTTGCCTTTCTCGAGGTCCTTGATACATGCTTTCTAGATTTATGTTGTATTCCTTTTTGAATTAAGAGCTCCAGTCGGCAAATTTATTTGATTGCTGGTGCATGATCCTTAAGGTTCACATTCGTTAGAACGCGTATGATTATCTTGTTGATTGGGAATAATCAATGAAGCTTTCATTCAGTTTGTTGGATTTTTCTGTTAGTTTTTGCACTCAGTCAATGACAGCTTTTTTTATTCTTAACTGAAAGGCTACGAGGACATTTTGGAGAGCTCTCAATGCTGTCATCAAGTTCCTTTACAGTTGAGAAGTGCTTTAATTCCAGTAACATGTCACTACGGGAGGCCATAGTGTCTGAGTTGGTAGATTTACAAAGCGATCTCTCCAAAACGAAGCAAGGACCTTATCTCTTAAGGAAGTTTGATGTTGAAGGGTACACAATTTATGCTTTTCATTTTATGAACTCGATCTAGATCGGTTTCTTTTGTACACGAGTAGGGGATGCATGTTTTTTCGTGTAAGGTTATTATCAAATACTGTAGCATGTCATCAGAACTGCGTTTAATGCGTTTTACTAATCTTTTTTTCTTGTTAGGTTTGCATTCCGACCTGACCAGTGGAGGTCAAAACAAGCATCGAGGGAATCAACTTACAAAGAATTTCATGATATGTTTGGGTCTGGCAAGTCCAAATCACAGAAGACTGAGGGCTTCCTTGCTGATAGTTCGAAGCATACATCGCATCCCAAGGATGTGAAGACAATGAGGAAAGAGATTGAGCATCACACGACATCTGATGTACCTTTTCTGGCGATGTCTGGGTTCAAGGGCAAGTCAGAAAAAAGTAACCACGGTGGTAAAAAACATTCCAGAGCTTTCATGGATAATGATATCTCAGAAGGGAGAACCGAAAAATCCAAAAGGAAACGGAATAAGGATCAGTCTGAGAATGCTGCTGCTGCTAGCAAAAGGAAACGAAAAGTGTAGATAGGTATCAGAAACACTCCTTACTACCACTGCAGCAGCCGCGCAAAACCGTTGCCTGGCAGAAAGTCTTCAAAGGTAAGCTAGTCAGTGCAGTAAATTGTAGCTTAAGAATTCCACTGAGAAAGTGGGAGCTTGATGGTGTGGATGATCTAGTTTTTAGCTACAGGTTTTTTGGCGCTGTGGCATAGGCTTGCTTTCATAGGAATATAGAGGAAATGGTCTGTCTTCTCCTTTTTGGTGGTGGGGGAAGATATTTGGATGCAGCATATACAATACCTGGTGATTAGAGGTCAGTATTCAAATTTTTTCTTCAAGAAATTATTGATCTTCACGTCGGAGGACACTGTGATCTTTATCTGCCGACCACATTTAAATCACTGTCCGAGATTCTGTTGTCGGAAGACTTGGATTGTTTATGTCTTTGATTCACAAAATAAGTAACATGTTGTCTTCCCGTGTTAATTTTATTTTAAATTTATTATTGCTTAGGAAATTATGCAACTTTTTCATACGTAAACTGATGTCTCCTGACCCGATGAACACTGCTTCACAGTAAAATCTTCATTTTTCTGAGTGATTGCAAGTTTCTAGAGATCTTCTGATGCTATTTGGACTTTAAATGTATTCAAGTGTCCTCTTTATATATATATATATATATTTCCAGTTGTGAAACTATAGTCTCTGTCAGCTCCGTGTAGAAAGGGAAAATTACGATGAAGTCAAGGTTGGTTAATTCTGCATTAGTCTGTTTTCAAGTCTTGTCTATTAACTTGCAACTGAAATTGTTTATAATGGCGAGGCAAATATTATTAGGCATTATTTTGATGTTCTTTGACTTTCATCGATGTTTTGGGTTTTAAATTTACTTTTCTCCTAGAAACAATTCAAGTTTGCAAGAGTTTGGGGTCTCTTGATCAAATTAGTTTAGAGATTTAAGTTTGAATCTTCGAGTGAACTTAATACTAAAAATTCTTGATGTCTCTCGAGTTTGGGCCTTGGGATGGGTGCGGGTGCCCTTGGTATGGGGAGCAGAGATTCGACTCAAAAGTTATGGAAAAAAAATTATTTTTCTCTCTTATTTAGTAGTTTATGAATGGAGATATACCAAATTATTGTTGCAAACCTTGAGATATTACTAGTGCAAGGATGAAATTGTGAGCATTAATTCAAAATTATCTTATTCATTATCGTAGGAATTATCAAAACATTTGACTCCTTAGCCATTGCAATACAATAATATATAATATATATGGTAAATGGGTCCGTTTGAAAATAAATGAATGGTTAAGTGAAGAATTATTCTCGTCAAACTTATATATGTATATATAAGTTTTTAGGATGGCGATTCAATCCGTTGTTAAAGATTTGATTGCAAAATATGCATAGACTTAA